TAGACCTTGGTGTTTCACAGGTACCACTCACTGGCAGGGCGGGCAGAATAGTATTTGCTGGGGCTGGGGATTTAGCTCAGCAGCACAGCGCTTGCCTGGCAAGTGCAAGGTTGTGAGTTCGATTCCCGGTACCAGAAAAAAACAAACAAACAAAGAAGAATATTTGCTGGGCAGGCTGGCTCCACCCTCCAAATACACGAAATGTCTTTGGTCATCTGACAAAACTACCTGCGCATTTCCAAACGCTCTGCACAGGCACAGGCAGGAACTGCCGGGAAGGGTTATTAAGAGTGGAAGCCCGCAGCAGGGGCACATGCTGTAAGTCCAGCTACCTGGGAAGCAGAGGCAGGAAGATTTAAGTCTGAGGCCTGCCTGAGAAACTTAGCAAGACTGTCTCAAAATAAAAAGGCCTGGGAATTAGCTGAGTGGTCGAGCGCTTGCCCAGGATGATAACGCCATGGAGGGGTCACCTCCCTGTACTAAGGGGGGAAGCATGGCGATTTTAATGCCTCGGTTCCCTGCAAGTCAGGTAAAATGTGGACGGTAGCTCTGCATAGTAAAAGACAAACACAGGCTTTAGAGTCAGATCTGAGTTGGAATCCTGACACTGCCACTGGTTAACCAGGAACTCTGTGGGGCAGCATAACCTCTGAGACTCAGTTTCCCTATCTGTACAGTGGGAATGCTGTCAATATCCTAACAGGGCTGCTGTGAGCATCACAGGAGACAACATGCAAAACACCTTGCAGCACCCCTCAGAAATCAGAGTCACCCGGCCCAGTGAATGGGGCTGCTCAGAAACGGACTGCTGGGGAAAGGAGAGAGGAACCACAGGCAAGGCCGCTCTGCCCACCCGCGGCGGTCCGCGAGGATCTCCCACCCTCCGCCCCTCCCGTGCCCCACACCGCCCGCCCGAGCCACTACCTTAGCAATGGTGTTGGCTTCCTCCTTGTAGGCGGCGAGCTCGGTGCAGGAGCTGGACTGGCCGACATGCTGGGTGCGTAGACAGCAAAAGAGGGCCTTGAAGATGTTCCGCCCGCGTGGCTTCTTAGGAGAGGACTTGGAGGCCAGGCCTGGGGAGGGGGAGTGAGCGAGGGTCAGCCGGGGGGACACGGGCCTCCGGCAGCAGCCTCCCCGCGCCACCCCCGCCCGCCCGGGAGCTCTGTCGGCACGTGGGAGAGGCCTGGCAGACGGCCACACGCACTTAACAGTAAGACGCGCACTTATTCCAGCATCTTCCCTTTAAAAGCAGGAATGGCAGGAAATCTCACTCTCTGCTTTGGGAAATGGGAGCCTTGAATTGCAGATTTGTCCTCCGTTCCGTGGGGGCCAGAGCAAAAGACGGACCGGGTAGAGAACCCGAGTGACAGACACTGACGACGCGCTCAGAATTAATTCACGGAGACATGACCCTCCCCTAACACCAGCCCCTGGAAGGTCACCCGTGCTGGACAACAAAAGCACCTCATCCCGAGGTAGTGAAGCGGCTGTTTGTTTTGGCAGCGGCTTTCGTAGATGCCGGGCAGATGGTAGCAGAACCCAGCCCAGGGCCGAGGATATAGCTCAGCGGCACAAGCGCCTGCCTGGCAAGTGCAAGGTCCTGAGTTCGATTCCCGGTACCAAAAAATAAAAAAGAACCGAGCCCAAACTGCCTACAAACTCCCGATGGCATGGGGCAGGGGATTTAGCTCAGTGGCACAGCACCTGCCTGGCAAGCGCAAGGTCGTGAGTTTGATTCCCGGTACCGGAAAAACAAAAAACAAAAAACAAATAAACCTTCCCCCCACCCAACAAACTCCAGATGGCGGCAGCCCCAAGGAAGAAGCTATGTCCTATTTACACCCTGCAACACACCTTCCCTCAGAGCCTGACTGGGAAAACAAGGGCTGCTTAAAGCCCGCGGGACAGAAACACCACCCCAGGTCCTAAGCTGAGGCCTCTGCTTCTACACTACACTGTTTAGTCCTACCATGACAATTTGGGTTTTGAAAACAAAAACCTTTTTTTTTTTTGAGGCAGGGTCTCTCTATGAACTTCAGGCTGGCCTTGAGCTCGCTGTGTAGCCCAGACAATCCTCCTGCCTCAGCCTCCTAAGCACTGAGATCAGAGTTGTGTGCCACCACGCCTGGTCATAAACCCATTTTAATAGCAGGCTTTGTGAAGCACCCCCGGAAAGACCAAGCAGACACACAAAGCTGTGGGAATTTTAGGATGAACTGAAAACGGACTTGGAAACGTTTTGCAAGTTCCTTTTGCTTCAGGTACACTGTCCTGGCAACTGCGGAATAAGACTGGGAAGCGACAGTGGACGCTGTGGCCAGGAGGTGGCGCTACACGACCACTCTCGGAGTGGTTCCCAGCCACAAGTTAGGGGGTGAGTCTTGAGTATACTTGAGTATACCCCAAAGCCTGAGTGAGAGACCCTGGCTGGGCCCGAGCATTAACACAAGCTGTTCCAGTTTGAAGCACAGGCCAACTACAAGGGAAAGCAACACTGGCATATCGGCATAGCGGCTCCCATCTGCAGCCACAGCACTCAGAGTCACTGCAAGTTTGAGGCCAGCCTGGGCTAAGCAGCAAGTTCAAGGCCAGCTTGAACTGCACACCAAAGCCCTGCCTCACAAAAACAAAACAAAACGAACGAATACTGAAAAACCAACAGAATGTGCCTCCGAGGCCCCTCTGTCCCTCCTCGGACGGGGAGAGAGGAGAGGAGAGCGCGTGGCTGTGGACACCGGGAGCAGCGGGCGCTCAGCCAGCTCCAGGGCAGCTCTGACGCAAGTGGGCGCTGGGCTGCCTGTGACCCTGGCGGGCACAGAGGAACAGCCCAAGGGGGGGGAACGGGCCTCCCCCAGCCGTCAGTCAAGCCGAGTCTGCACCACCCGGAGGACAAGGGGCCCAGTGGACGGAAGAGAAGCCCGAAGCCCAGCACAGCTCCCTCCTCCCCTCCCTGGGGTAGGACAGATCCCTGGACATGGAGAGGACCCCTGCGAACCCTTTAGAAAATGACCGACCCGCCAGGCGTGGTGGTGCATGACTGTAATCCCAACACTCAGGAGGCTGAGGCAGGAGGATCACTGCGAGTTCGAGGCCAGCCTGGGCTACAAAGTGAGCTCAAGGCCAGCCTGAACTGCAGAGTGAGACCCTGTCTCAAAAAGAGAAAAAAAAAAAAAAAACCACTTCTGTTCATCAAATAGATGGGAAAAGATAATAGACAGGAAAAGATATTTGTACACAATACTTAAAAATCAACAAGGAAGGAACTATTCAGGGGAGTGAAGCTACAGGATCTCAAGCTCCTGGCCCTGGAGAAAGAACACAGACCCAGGGGTTTGGGGCTCCTGATGTGAAGACGCTGTGCTGGGGTCAGACCCCACAGCCCCTGCACCACAAAGACCAGCATCAGAGCAGAGCCCACACTTAAAGTCAGCAAGATGCGAGGTCCATGGCCCACCCCCAGGCCTGTTATTCTAGTAATTTACATAGAAACCAGGGGGGAGGCTGAGGCAGGAGGATGGTTGCGAGTTCGAGACCAGCCTGGGCTACAAAGTGAGCTCTGGGCCCACCTGAACTGCACAGCGAGACCCTGTCTCAAAAAGACCAAAAAAAAGAAAGAAACCATGGGCCCCGAGCCGCCTCCCCACCTGCCGCTGGCCCACATTAAGTCCAAGCCCGCGCCCTCGGGGCAGACGCTGACAGAAGGCTCCAGGACCAAAGCCGAAGCACTGCATCTCCTTTGGTGCTCAGCTTCTTCACGCAGAACCAGCCGGAGGCTTAACCCGGGCCCAGGCCCTTTCTTCACGCCCGGCCTTTCCTGCGAGAGGGCAGCGGGACGCACTGAGCATCTCAGCGACAGGCGCTGTGCACGCCGGGTAACCCGGACGGGCAGCAGGGGCGAGGGGCAGCTGGCTGGCCGTGCAGAGGCCTCGCCTTCGCCCGCCCCGACGGGAGCTCGGGCTCTGCAGGGGCCCAGGGTTTGCTCGAGGCACAATGGGACCGGCAGCTCGGAGACCACAGACGTGCTGACCTCGGGGCGGGCGCTGGAGGAACATCCCAGACCCCCAACAGCAAGGCCACGCCCCCGCCATCCCTCTCCAGGCTGTCCGTCCCGGCCCCTTACAAACAGCTCCCAGAACTCCTCAGGCCCTGCTCCAGCCTCCCTCAACATGGCTGCCTGCCCCAAGGCCTCAAAGGCCTCAGCCTGGTGCATTCGTCTATCTCCGGCTCTGGGTAGCCGGTGCTCAGTAACTCTGACGGGCTGGGGTGGCTTCAAGGCTTCTGTGGGTTCCGCGGAGCCAGGACCCGGACAGGCCTCCCCAAGTTCACAGCCATTCAGAAGCCCGAGAGATGGGACAGGAGGGGGGCACTGCAGGAGCCGAGCGCCCGGGGCAAGACCCGGAGTCTCCCCGGGCCCTGCACGTTCACTGGGCACCAGGACATGCCATGGCTTTGTCGGACACTCGCCTCGTTACAGTTAATTCTCATGACAAACCCAAGCGCAAGGGTCCCTCGGTTTCCAGGAGGGACGCCGGAGAGGTCACACGGGCAGACTGACAGCAGAACCCGGATTTGAATGACCCAGGGCTGCCCGGACCCGGAGCCACAGCTCTTGGCCGATGTCCCATAGGTCCTTCGAGGGCTCAGGGACACCGCGTGCGTCTCCGCACGCAACTACTGGGGGGCCTGTGAGCCCTGTGCAGAGCTCAGCCTGGGGTCCAGCCCCTCCTCCCTCCAGCTCTCTTGGGCAGGCCAGCCGAAGGGCAAGGGGTGACGCCCAAGACTCCGGGATCCCCTCGGACTCCGGCGAGCCCACCCCAGCCGCTCGGACACAGGTGCCGGGGCAGCCCACACCAGAGCGGGATCTGAAACTTTCCTCCGAGAACCTTTCAACGGCTCCTTTCAGCCAGCAGCCGTGTGCCCGAGCGCGGTGCGGCCACCCCCAGACCCCGTGTGTGACACGCAGGGAGCCTTCCCTGCCTCCGCGGGGCACTCCAGACACAAGACCTCCGGGCCCGGAGAGCTTTCGCTGCACAAAGTCTGGCCAGCGAGGGCAGAGGGGCTTCCGGTGTGCGTCGTGGAGCTCCGCCACCTCCTGCTGCTGCCCTCCGCGGACGCCCAGTCCTCCTCTCCCGCCAAGAGGCTGACGTGTGTCTGCCCTCGCTGCTCCAAACATCTGTTTTAGGACTAGACGTCCAAGAGGACCTCTGCAGACCCGAGGAGGGAGCCAGCTCTGGCCCGAGAAGCAGACAGGCAGGTGGCCGACGCCAGGGAGGCCAGGCTGCCCCTCAACGCACCGCTCCCCACTGAGGCAGGGTGTGGACAGGGGGAGCCCCTCGCCGGAGAACCGCTGGGGCTGCAGTCCAGGTTCTGCCAGTCACTGACTCAACCACACGCCTCCTGGGGCCCTGGCTTCCTCACCCACAAGATGGGACTGGGGATAAAAAAATAAACAAAACTTACAGTACGTGACTATGCAAACCCTTAAAACTAAATGCTCTGCTTGTTTGTTTGTTTGTTTGCTTATTTGGTCTTTTTGAGACGGGGTCTCGCTATGCAGTTCAGGCTGGCCTTGAGCTCACTTTGGAGCCCAGGCTGGTCTTGAACTCACATCGATCCTCCTGCCTCAGCCTCCCAAGTGCTGGGATTACAGGAGTGCGTCACCACGCCTGGCTGCTTATGTTAATTATCTGGTTGGCAAATCCTGGTTCTCATCCTGGACCACTAACTGGCAAGGAGACCAGGAACGCGGGATTAGGACTCACGCACACCCATGCTAAGTGGTTGAATGTCAAGAACAAAACGAGGACGAGTGCCTGGGAACGCTGGTTCTGGGCAGATTTCACAGTCACAAGAGCCCCATACCTTCTTTCTAGGCCTGCCGGTGTGTGCACCCCCGGCTGGCACTCTGTGAGTGATGGGCAGGCAGGTAAGGCTGCCCCACTTGGTGTGGACATCACTGCCCGCACCCGGTAACACATTCCTTCTCCTCCTGTAAAGCAGCATGCGCTCAGCCGGGCCCGGGCGCACACCTGCAATGCCAGCACTTCTGGGAGGGCTGCATGTTCCAACCCAG